GGCAATCCTACTTCCGTAGTGATACTGCCTCGGAAACCCAAGGAGGGGTCGCTATGAGTCGGGGCCGACTCGACGGCATATAACAACAACAATACTATTCTACTGGCCTTAGTATTTATCAAATTTATCAGATTTGGGTGGGTTCATAATTTTTCACTTTATTGATTTTCTACTGTTTTTAGCTGAAGCATGTTATAAAACTTATCTGACAAGTGTAGTATCTAAGGAATAGACTAGGATACTATAATAAACAGATGCCAAAATATGGTGGTTTTAAGCAAGCAATGTAGTTTATTTTTCTTTCACATAACACAGACCAGTGGGAGAGAATTTAGGGCTGTTAGTGGCTGGGAAGAATAATTTTGTATTCCTGTGTTTATATTTGAGTTCTGGTTTTGGAATTTAGTTTAACAGGTGTTTCACATTATTTTCTAAGTTGTATACAATATTAACAAAATAAGGATATTTTCCATTTTTGTAAGTAGACTAAAGTGTAGTTTGAATCTAGGTGACATACTAAACAGATCATTGAGTTGATCATAATTTTAAGTATTTTCTTGTCATTGAGTTTTTTGCTTAATAAATGAAAACAAAAGCTTATGCTTTTAAATATACAAATATATGGCTTTGATCTCTGTGTCTAAGGTGATCACTCTAGTGTTGCCGTCTCCAAGCCAACCAACAAGAAGAAGAAAAAGGACCAAGAGAGTACATGTTTATTTCTGGAAGTGGGGAGTGACATGTTTCACATCCACTCCTATCCTAAACTTTGTTACATGGTTATAGCAAGCTGAAAGAGATACTGGGAAATATAGCCTGTAGGTGGGCAACCATGTTAAAACTTGGACATTCTTTTATTCTGAAAGGAGAAGAGTAGATTATTGGTGGATCAGTCCTGCTATACAATTTAGCATACAATTTCACTAGAACATAGTTTTCTATAATCATGACCATCCAAATAACCCAAAATTGATAAAATTATCTTTTCAAGTTCAGTTATGGCACAAAGCTCTATAGGAATTTTATTTTTCAATATTGGATTAAAATATCAGTTAACTGGAACTAGTCTACTTGGTGGAAGCTCTGGTAGCATAGTGGCTAAAAGCACTTGACTGCTAACCAGAAGGCTGGTGGTTCAAACCCACCAGCCACTCCTCGGAAGGAAGGTTGGGCAATCCTACTTCCATAGTGATACTGCCTCGGAAACCCAAGGAGGGGTCGCTATGAGTCGGGGCTGACTGGATGGCAAACAACAACAACAACAACAGCAGCAGTCTACTTGGTAGCATAGTGGCTAAGGCCCTTGACTGATAACCGGAAGGCTGGCAGTTCAAACCCACCAGCCACTCCTCAGAAGGAAGATGGGGCAATCTACTTCTGTGGTGATACTGCCTAGGAAACCCAAGAGGTGGTTGCTATGAGTCGGATCTGACTTGACGACATTGAGGTTTTTTTTTTTTTTAATGTGAGACTGTGACAAAATGCAATTGTTGTGTTGCTAGTAATTTTTCATGTTTATTACTATGACCTCAAGGTTCAGAAAGCTCTTAATGTTCAAAAAAGAGTGATACTGTTTTTAGTGTTTAGTTCTTCCTGCTGTGACCTAAAAGTAGATGTTGTTGTTATGTGCCCTCGAGTTAGACCTGACTCATAGCAACCCCTCCTTGGGTTGCTGAGGCATTATCACTAAGGAAGTAGATTGCCCAACCTTCCTTCTGAGGAGTGGCTGGTGGATTTGAACCACCACCCTTCTGGTTAACAGTGCCTTAGGCACTATGGTACCAGAGCTCCTAAAAGTAGATAGTTTTTGTATAAAAATTAACAAAAATAGTATTTCTAGGAGTATTTGGTATATTTTAATTCTATAATATGAATGTATAATATTAAGTTCTTGTCATGTTGTATTTTTCCTCTTGTGTACTTGTGAATAGTTACAAATAGATGATATTATCTTGAGGAAATGTAGATCTCAAACCAGGATTGTTCTTTTGTTAATTAGACACTTGTTCTTCTGAATTAAGTTCCTCATTATGAGCAGTATTATTCACTAAAAGTTTACCAGAGGAAAATTAAAATTTTATTTATAATGCACTCTATAAAATGTATGTGATGGCACATTTAAATGCTGAACTATTGACTAAAAAAATATGAAGTATTCCCTAATAATTATGTTTTTATATCTGTACATGGTTCATTCATTCATTTACAGCCTTGGAAACCATATGGGCGAGTTCTGCTTCAGTGCCTGAAAACTCCTTAAAGTTCACTGCTTGATATTCCTATTGAGTTCTATCTTTGTGTAAATAATACTGAATTTATGAGACCTATACTAGTTAGCATTAATATATATTTTTTACTCATTTTCATAAAATAAAGACATACTTCAGTAAAGTATTGTAATGCTTATATGAACAAACACTACTGTACAAAGATGAGAATATATCTAAGAGTGAAATGTTGCTTAGAAGTCTTACTGCCATTTATCAACTATAAAAGGGGATATGATAGAAAATCACATGAGTGAAAGTTGATGATTGCCCATTCTGTGTTCAGTAGCCAGTACAACCAAGACCAGTTGTTCTCATAGGTTTTTGTGAGAGTAATACATACTTATTGAAAAAATATTGGAAATTTAGAAATTGCAGATTGCTCTATGTTTTAAAAAAATTCTATTTAATGTACTCATAATGATATACTTAAACTTAATTTGTATGTCAAATTATATTTATATACTTATTAATTCCAAAGTTCTCCATTGTATTCTGTGTAGTATTCATAGTATAGATTGGAATACTCGTTGGAATTTTCTAGATCTTTTTTGATTTGTCAGTGCCAAAGACCGTTTTGTAATTCATTTGAATTCTTTATATATCATTCATACTAAATCTCTATTCTGGTTTGTCATTTAACCGTTTTGTATATGGTAGATTTTCCCCATATTTTTTCTTGTTTTGTAGGTTATATTTAGCTTTTTAAAATACCTAGACTTTAGTTTGGTGATGAGATGAAGTACTAATAATCCCCTTTTACCTCAAAGTACTTAGATAGTTTATTAGAGCCAGTTATTGAATAATACTTTCTTTTTTAACTTCATTTTGAATATATTACAGGTTTTTTCTGTATATTTGATATGTTTAATAGATTAAATATTAGCCCTAGTAATGAAAGACTTACAGTGAAATGGTTGGGGAGAAGGGTTTTATATACATTATTTTCTAGGTTGTATATAATATTAAAACAAAATCAGAATATTTCCATTTTTATAAGTGGACTAAAATCATTTTTTACTTTGAATCCGGGTGAACTAATAAAGTGATAATTGAGTTGACCATAAACTTTAAATATTTTTTTGTTAATTGAGGTTTTTTTTTAATGGTTGAAAGCAAAAGTCACTTTTAAATACACAGTGCTTTTTTTTTTTCTTTTTTGAGATATACATAATATATCTTTGAAAATTAAATACTGGCAGAATCTGACCTTCTTTCTTTTTTTTTTCAAGGGAAAAATTTATACACAAATGAATATGTGGCAATTAAGTTGGTAAGTTCATGTTTCTTATTTTTCCTTAATTATTTTCTTGTTATTTCCTTAATTACTAACTTATATTTTAGTTATCTTTTGTTTTCATGTTGTTTATAACTTGGCTGTTCATTAGAAAAGAAAAAGTGATATTCATAGCTGGTCTTTTGTTATTAAGCTTATATCATCATCCTGTCCCATAAGTATATGAGAACTCAATCCCTTTATCTTGGCAGCATTTTAGAATTTTAGAATTTTGGCACCATTTTTAATTTAGGGAAGCTAGCATATTGGGGTTTTTGATAAAAATTCACAAGATTTCTCTTTCTGATCTAAATATTTAGACAAATCAAAGCATACTTAGTGTTCAGAATTACACTCTTTGAAAACATTTTCCGATAGCTCCCAAAATCAGTTTTTCTGTTGATACTTTATGTATGGTAAAACTGTTTATTGCTTGATCTTGAAGGATTTAGAAATGCTTGATATGGATGGGGGATAGCAGGGAAAGCAAACTCCCATGGAACTATTCTGAAGTCCTAAATGTGCCCTGTACAGTAGCTGTAAGACAGAAAGATTTCTTTTGGAATAGTTAGAATCTGGAAATTATTTCCATAAGATATAAGTTTCTTCTGGCACACTTGTCTGTCTGGCTTGCTAGCCAGTTTTCACTGAGGTTAAGCATGTTTGGTTTTCCTAGTCTGCCTGTCTTTTTAACCTTGTCTCTGCCGATATAACCTGTTATTAAGACAACATGAGTAACGTTAATTAACTCGTTGAAAGAAGAGGCAAATGGAAAGAAATAGAAAAACTTTTGGGATAAGATAGAAAATCTGCACTGCTTAATTTTAAATATTTTTGTGAGTGTAGACCATGTTTTACTGCAACAAATGCTGTTTATTTTCACTAGGAAATAAAGATACATAGTAGAATTGGGAGCTCTGGTAGCATAGTGGCTAAGTCACTTGCCTGCTAACTAGACGGCTGGCGGTTCATACCCACCAGCCACTCCTCGGAAGGAAGGTTGGGCAATCCTACTTCCGTAGTGATACTGCCTCGGAAACCCAAGGAGGGGTCGCTATGAGTCGGGGCCGACTTGACGGCACATAACAACAACAACAACAACAGTAGAATTATGTCACTACCAGGAAAGATAGGCAGACTTACATGATGCTTTTAATGATCACGGACACACCTCAGTTTATTGTGCTTTGTGTTATTGCACTTTGCAGATACTGTGCTTTTTTTTTTTTTTTCCCTCTCACAAATTGAAAGTTTGTGGCAACCCTGAGTCAAGCAAGTCCATTGGCACAGTGCCATTTTTCCAACAGCATGTGCTTGTTTTGTGACTTTTTGCCACATTTTGGTAATTCTCACAATATTTCAAATGTTTTCATAATGCTATTGCATACTGAATAGACTTCAGTATAGTGAAAACATGAGGAACTCTGGTGGCACAGTGTCTAAGGTATTTGACTGCTAACCTGAAGGTTGGTGGTTCAAACTCACCAGCTCTGTGGAAGGAAGATGGGGCAATCTACTTCTGTAAAGATTTATTACCTCGGGAACCCAATGAGAGTTGCTGTGAGTTGGAATTGACTTGATGGCAGTGGGTTTGGTTTTAGTTTATAGGGTAAACATAATTTTTATTTGCATTGGGAAACCAAAAAAATTCTTGTGACTTGCTTTATTGTGAAATTTGATTTATTGTGGTGGTCTGTAATTGAACCTGCAATATCTTTGAGTTATGTTTTTATTTATCTAGGTGAGTTCACCATAGTTTTAAGCTCTGAACTTTGGCTTTCTGACACAAAATCCTGTTAGGTCATCTCATCTAGATTGTCTGTTTCTCAGAAGTGGACTCTTAGGGATGCAAATATTGGGAAAGAGTTGATTTCTAATTTATAATGAGGTATTTTACTATTGCAAGTCTAGAATGCTCAGATCAGTATAAACAATGTATTTTTTTTCTGTAGACTGATCTGCAAGGAAAACCATGTTAAAATTTCAAGGTTCCTTTGTGAGCATGGAATCAGGATAAGAAAGTTAAGTTGGTGTGAATCACTATAGGGAGACCCAGGATGTAGGAACTGTGCAGTATGATGTGCTGATGTGAATGGGCACTGCTGACTTTATTAACTTTGGAACTCTTCCTTTGCCCGTGTTCTAGGCCAGTAGTTTAGAATATCATATGAGCATTGGGGGATGGGAGTGTCACAAAAGTGTGGTGAAGTCCATCTTCTGTGTGTTATTGATTCAGCAAGCTTATAAGTGAGCATTTCTACTTTTGGGAGCATGTTTTGCATGTGAATGATACTTGTCTAACATGTTGAGGCAAATAAACCATTATGTCAAGGTAAGAACCACTGCTGTAGGCTGACTACATACCTTGTCTGCATCAATAATAAAGTATAATCTTGGATCCTGTTTCTGGTTTTGGAACTTGTTTACTCAGTCCATATCATTGATGCCTTAGTAAACATTTATCGTGGTGCATCTTTTAGCCTTCGTATGTATACACATCACTTTTTTTTAGTTTATCTTCATGCCACATCACTCTATCATTTGGATTATTTTTCTTCTCTTCTCCTGTACCCCTTTTTTTCCTTCTCTGATTTGCCCTTTTAAAACCACAGTGATCAGTGCTACATATAATTACTGTTTTTCAGTTGTTCTTTGGAGGAACTTGGAATATTTTTGGATCTGTTTCCCTTGCATTTTGAGATTGAAGTATTGTGTGCAGTCATGTTTTCTTCAGATCGATTGAAAAGACTGTTATGGGAGATCAGAACAATTTTTCACATAAATTTTGTTGGACCATAGTTTGATACCTTGCCATTTCCTTATATGTTTTTATTCTTATCTTTTGTATCTCTTTGCAACAAAGAGCATAGAATTTTGTTCAGAACTTTCCATAAAAGTAATCATGTGAAAATGTTACATTTCTATACCACAGTACTGTCTGATTTTTATACTTTGTTACAAATAAAAGTGGTATTTGATAACATGGTATTCAGGGAGTGGATTTCAGAGACTACTTTCAGCTTTACTATTTCTTACAAAGATTTTTACATTTATTTAATAATGTAACTCTAGTTTGCAAAGCTGATTTTTGCCAAGATATTTTATTAATTGGACTTCAGTCACTGTATCATTTCTTATTGATGCTTATATAATAACCTGCTGTCCATGAATAATTAAAATATTATTATGAGGTGGGGAGACTTTTGTTATATGGTAGTATAATAAAATTTTACTGCTATCAAAGTACTGGAGTCAATTTGAACTGACTCAACAAGAACTGGTTTTCTAATTTTACCTAGGCAATATTAGTGAGTGAGTAAGTTAGTATTTAATTTCACTTTTAATTGCATAAATGGGCATCTTTTATCATATCTTAAGGTTATACATTTCTAGGTAGTTAATTGAAGAAGGCATAGGTAATATAGCATTCAGTATGTGGTAGATACTGTTTTAAGCACTTTACATATATTATAAGAATGGTACAGTTTTTAAACCCTATTTTACAGATGAGGGAACTGAAATACAGAAATGTTAAGTAAGTTGTAGAAATCACACTGTTAATAAATAGTGGAGTCATGATTTGAACTCAGTACAATCTAGTTTCAGTGTATGTTTGTAACTACTGTACTGTCCTATCTCTGAAGAACTAAGTTGAATTGTTTTTTCATATAATATTTCTTACGGATTTTTAAATCCATAAGGATTTGTTCTCATTGGATTTTTAAAACAGTTGTTATCTATCTATCTATCTATATAACAAAACATTTGTCTTTTCAACAATTTCTACAAGTATAATTCAGTGACATTGATTATGTTCATCATGTTGTGTAGTCGTTACCACTATCTTTATCCAAATTATTCTACTACTGTTAACAGAAACTCAATGCTTCCTGAGCAGTAACTCTCCCTTTTTCCCCTTTGGCCTCTATACATTTGCATATTTCATATAAATGAGATCATGCAATATTTGTCCTTTTGTGACTGACTGATTTCATTCAAGTTTCATCTTTGTTGTGGATGCATCAGGACTTCCTTTGTCTTTATGACTGAGTAATATTTCATTGTATGCATGTACCACATTTTATTTATCCATTCATCTGTTGATGGGCATTTAGGTTGTTTTTACCTTTTGACTATTGTGAATAGTGCTGCAGTGAACATTAATATACAGGTTTCTATTTTTTGTTCCTGTTTTCACTTATTTTAAGGATATATTTAGGATTGGGATTGCTGGGTCATTTGGTTAATTCTGTATTTAACTTTGGGAGCTCTGGTAGCATAGTGCCTAGGCACTTGACTGCTAACCAGAAAGCTGGCAGTTCAAACCCACCAGCCACTCCTCGGAAGAAAGGTTGGGCAATCTACTGCCGTAGTGATACTGCCTCGGAAACCTAAGGAGGGGTCGCTATGAGTCTGGTCCGACTTGACGGCACATAACAACAACAACGTATTTAACTTTATGAGGAACCACTAAACTGTTTTCCAAAGTGGCTGTACCATTTACATTCCCACCAGCAAAGGATGAGAGTTTTCTAATTTATCACATTCTCACCAACATCTTTTTTTTTTTAAATGAGAGATTCTAGTGGGGATGAAGTAGTATCTTATTTTGATTTTGATTTGCATGTCCCTATGAGTCAGAACTGACTCAACATCAGTGAGTTTTCAAATGACTAATGGTATTCCTTGATGATGCAAATGGTTAATGTGCTTGGCTTCTAACCAAAAGGTTGGAGGTTCAAGTCCACCCAGAGATACTTCAGAAGAAAGGCCTGGTGCTTTACTTCTGAAAATCAGTCATTGAAAACCCTATATGGAGCACAGTTATATTCTGACACACATGAGACCATGAGTTGAAATTAACTCTTTGGCAACTGGGGTAATGATTGTTGTTGTTGTTGTTTGCCGTCCAGTCGGCCCCGACTCATAGCGACCCCTCCTTGGGTTTTCAAGGCAGTATCACTATGGAAGTAGGATTGCCCAACCTTCCTTCTGAG